TGCGAGAGGAGGAAGATTTTCACTGAAATCCTCCTCTGCTGGTCTTTGACCAAAGCCTTTGAAAGAGACAGAACCGTGAGAGGCTTGGTAGGAATCTCCCCACCTTCTTCCACAACCACCCAGCAAAGGTAGTTATAGGACACTTACTGCGATATACCAAGATCACAGCAGTCACAACAATCACCAGGACAACAACAGCCACAAGGCAGCCGATGATGAGCCCCAGGTTGGATTCTGGAACTGAATTCAGAGAAAAAGGAGATAATTGAAGAGAAGCCATACCTATTGAGAGAAAACCATGGCAGCCAACAGAATGGAAAATATTAAAACTTATTTGGCAACAGCACTCACTTCTTTGTTTACATGTATTGAGTGCAAAGCAATGATTGGGGTCTTGTCTTAATAGTCTCCATTTATTTTAAAAAAAAAAAGGGATTTGGAATCCTCCAGCTAATTCCTGACCCATCAACTCCTCAGCATCACCAGCGAGATACATGCTGAGCATTTTGCTGTTAGGCTCCTGGACTGGCTGGATTCAGAGAACAACGTATTGGAACAAACTGGATTTAAAACTGGCCACTCCCTCTTTGGTTGTGCTCCAGTTCCACAACATCTGGCCAAAAGGCAGCTCCAAACCACAGGCTTCGCTCTGTGCAGCCATTATAGACTTTAGAGCAGCGTTTGACCTACTTTCCAGCCCTCATTTGTGGCACAAATTCCAAAACCCCTCTACAGACAAAAGGCTGCTACTGCTTATCAATGAACTTTACAAGAAAACTGCCCCAAAGGTTACATGGTCACTATGACACCCTTCTTAATAGAACCCAAGAAGTCTGTATTCTTTCCCTGCTGTTGTTCAATTATTGCATCAATGCACTAGTTGCCATGACAAACTACCTTTCCCATCATCTCTCCCCCCCCCGAAATTAGCAGTGAAAGCAGCACAGTCCTACGACTGTATACGTGATGATGTCATTTTACTTTCCCCAACTCTGGCTGGCCTAAGAAGGGCCCATTGAACTCTGTCCTTCCTCTTCCTCCTCAGGGTGAAAATTCACCTTCAACCATCCTTTCCTTCTGTTACTCTCTCTCACCAGGCTGCAGTTCACACATTTTAATACAATTTGGAATTCATAAAAGCGGCTACCTGACTCCTCCTGATTTTTGCACTGAGGAATTCCAAACAAAAGGAAACCTGTTTCTGGGCTCAGCATAAGTCCTCCTCCTCTGCTGGAGGCAGCAAACAGGGACGAGAGAGAAGCTAAGGGAGGATCTGGGTGCATTTCCTCAGGATGGGCCAACCACTGGGGTGGGACTCCGCCGCTTCCTTTCAAGAACCGGAAGCCGATTCTACGGACTATTCCCTGCAGGTCCACAAGCCTCAAACATGGGAAAAACCACTGGATTAAAGCTCAAGGATGCTCACATCTGGACACAGGTGGGGTCAAATTTCTCTCCCACAATCCTCCATCCTGAAAAAGAGCCCAGCCTCTCCCTCCCTGGAGCCTCTCACCCTTCAAGGCTTTGTCCACAGGCTCCTGCAGGCTGTCGTGCTCCACGCGGCACCAATAGCGGTCCCTCTCTTTGGGATCGATCCGGATGCTGAGCCAGTAGTGGTAGGTCCCATCTGCATTGGGGGCCACAGACCCACGGAAGGTGTCCTGCAGCCAGACCTCCCCGTCCCTCCTCCAGGAGGCATCGATCTCCTTGGGGTAGAAGCCATTGACGCGGCAGAAGTGAGTTTCCATCCCATCGTCAGCCTCCGTCCTGCTCACCGTCACCACTGGGGCCTCTGCAGAAATCGCAACACCAGAATTAACACTGAATTTCCACAGCAGCTGATTGGATAAGTAAATTCATGTTTGTGTTTTTTTCCAGGACTGCCCAGCAACTGTTGACAATCTTAGCAAAAAGGAAGAGCTGCTTTAAGTATTTGCCTTCACCACCTCTCAAAGCACCTTTTTGCCTTTGGAGCTGAAGGGCTACATGGCCCCATCCTGTGATTTAGCAGCAGAGATTTAACACTGATCCAGGCAGATCGCAAATCTTTGTAAATGCTGCATAGAAAAGGGGTTGTGGGAGGCTGGGAAAGGAAGAGATGGTGGGTGAGTTAACAGGTTTCCTTTATGTATCGGTCTGGGAGCCACTATTAAGCAACATTTTTATTAATCACCAAAAAACAGAATTGAAGGGCTGCTTATCAGATGTGCAGATGACACAAAATTGGGAGGTCTGGCCAATGCTCAGAATGAGATTGCAACCTAATCTGGCCAAGTTGGTGGAGTGGACTAAGAGAAAGAAGATGTGACAGTTGTCCAACCCCTTTAGCTGAAAGTAATAGAAGTTACTTTACTGAACTTGGTTAGTTCTTGATTCCTTTGTTTGGCCAGCTGCATGGGGCTTGACAGGGATTTGTTCTAATTATTCATTCATTTTTTTTCTGTTTGTTGTAGTTTGCTTTTGGTCTTACAATTTACTGTTTTTGACTTTTTTTTTTTTACTGTATAGGGGTATGCAGAGACATTTTTTCTGACTGGAGGAGCATTTGAGCCCAAGTAAGTAGGTAAATTTTGGCAAGTCGATAAACTCAGCCACAGGAATTGAATTTTTCCAGCGAGCTCCTTTGGGCTCAGGGCTAAAAGTGATTGAGTTTCTGGGGCCAAACTGGTTCAGAACCCTCAAATCTGAACATCATAAACTCAATTTAATTTAGACTGACTTTGGCTGTTTCCTTGAGGGGAACAGCATTGGATTTGCCATGTTCTGGTTCTCTTAGACCTATCTACCTTCGATAACTCCTTCTGACAGCTTCCGACAAAGTTTATGGGGAAGTAAGTTGCAAGTTGTGATCATGTAACATCATACCTAATGACTGCAGGTGATTCACTTAATGACCTCAGCAAAACTGATGTCATAAGTCAGGCAGAGTCATGTTTCCCTTTACAACCACATCTCTTAACAATGGAGTTGCTGGTCCCAATTGTGGTGGTTAAGTGAGGACTACCTTTGTCTCTCTGCTCCACTGCAATGAAATCCTTCCTTCCTTCCTTCCATCCATCCATCCATCCTCTTTCTCTACTTCCTGACTTTCCCTCCCTCCTCCTCCTCCTCCTCCTTTCCCCCTTCCTTCCTTCCCTCCCTCTGGGAGAGGCAGGTGGCCAGGGACTCAGAAGGTTGCTGACTCCTTCCTTCTAAACCTCCACTCCTTCCCTTCCCCTCTATTCATCTCTCTCTCTCTCTCCAATTTGTGTAACTATCCTGCTTCAGGCTTCAGTCGCACCTAGCACACACAGTTTCTTGAGTAATTATCAGTTTACTACTAGCTGAAGGATTTACAATGAAACAAGGAATGCAAACAAACACAGGAATGTAAATGGAGCCAAGGCTTGGCTGCAACATTTGCTTTGAGAATAGAAGCATGCCAAAGAATCAATCGCCTAAAGCCAGTCCAAGGTTTCAGAGCCAGGTCAAGGTTGTCAGCCAGCTCAAAGGTCCAAGAAGCAGGATCCAGACATGAATCTCACAACACACACAAGTCAGATGCCAGACATTGTTTCCAGCAAGAAACTTATCTGAGAGCTTCTTTCTTAAACAGAGCTGCAGGCAGCTGTCATTAATCAGACTGCTTGCATCTTTGCTTTCTGCATAACCTAATAGACTTTCACTGTTCTGCTCTCCTTTCTACCCACCCGGTGCAGGGACTGGGAGGCCTTATGACATTCTCACCTGGCTCCAGCTGCTCAGGTGGTGCCTGTGATTGATCATGTGATGTCTCCCTTTGTCCTTCCTGAGGCTGACATTCCACAGACTCAGCTGGAGCAGCTTCCTCAGCCGACAGAAGAGAGGATCTGTAGCTCAGCGTTGAACCGTGGAGTGCTTGGGGTTCTCTGAGCTTCATTGTTTTCTTGCAGACATTTCATTACCCAATTAAGTAACATCTTCAGTGCTAGGATGGAGTGGGGTTTACTCTCCGTTTATATACAGTGGTTGGCCCTGTATGGTGGGAGAGGTGTTTTTTCCTTGATAGTTCCTAGATTAGGCTGTTGTTTACTGCCAGATTGTTTGAGTTGGTAGTTCCTTGATTAGGGTATTGTTTACTGCTTGTTTGACTGGTGTTAATCCTGGTGTTTCCCAGTTGAAACTGTGGTTAAGTCTATCCATATGTTGTGAGATTAAGTAGTTTTCATTGTGTCTTCTGA